TACTCTCAATAAAATCAAGAAAAATTATCTTCAAAAAGTTCAAATGGCAAGAACATTTCAAAGATATTGTATTAAGAAGTGCAAATGAGATTGGTTCAAATTTGGAACATTTTGTTTTAGAGTCCAAAGGAGGAAACACTAGAGGATATCACTGATCCGAAGGAGAACTTCGGTGATTTTCCAAGTTATCCTATTATTTGGCTTCAATTTAGGAGAAATCATTTAGATGTTTCATCCTGCAAGTATTTATTAGGAATTACATTTGTGTGAAACAATCAGCACAAATAACCTTGAACAGCACAAATAACCTTGAAGATGTTAGGATTTAGGTCATGATGAATGACAACCTCGGAATTCTAAGCCAGGTTAGGTCTTAAATTTTATAGCATGGCTATATAAAGACTTAAAGATAAGTTGATGATTCATGTCACACTAGATAGGACAACCTCAAAATATTATGGCTTATTCTTTAATTCTATAGAATGGTTTAGCTGGTGTAGATAATTTTTTTTGTTGAAGATGGTCGTGCTGCCCACAATTCTAGCTCCAAGGTCCTCATCGTGGCGAGTTTAAGTTTTAGAAGTGTCAAATTGTGGAGATTTAGAGAAGTGTCAAGTTCAGAGATCAAGTTATTTAATGTGTTAAGTTCTAATGTCAAATCAGATGTTTCCTAATGTGATGGTTATTTAAATGTTATGTGGGCTTTAAAGTTGATTAGAGCGACAATGGTTAGGATCCCACGGTTCCCTCGTTCCTGTATCACTATTTTCTTTTAAACTTATATAGCTTAAACAAGTTGTGAAACTCATTTAAACTAGGGAGATCTCGTTAGCAACTCTGGGTACCTCCTCTGAGGGTCTCCCATAAATTTAAAAGGATGTTTTAAATTTAGTGGAATTTCAAAGGATTTATAGTTACCTTTGAAACAATTTATTTTAGTTTTTGAAAATTTTGATTAATTTTTGTTTAATTTTTTCAGTTTGCAAGTAAAGGAAAGTACTCAACCTGGAAGTTATAATATTACAGAAATGGTAAACCAAGTATGGTCCAAGGTGTAACTAACAAACCCTAAGTTATGACTTATTGAATCCCAAAAGATCTTAATGGATGATTCTAGAAAAATATATAACACGTTCAATTTTTCCTTCAAAATATTCAAGAGATTTCAAAGTATAAAGGGGATGATCCTAGACAGGTTTGAAGATCTTTTAAAATATCTGAGTCATGCTGAAGTTAAAATATTGTTCCATTAATCATCCTGGGATAAATAAAAATTACCTTATTACTCGGTGAAATTTTTCATTTTAATCATTCCAAGGGCAGGGTACTCAATTAATCAATTGATATCTTACTTAAAATTTTTGTGGAAGGATACCCTTAAGGTAAGTTCTTAATTGGACTTGTGGTGTTTTAAAAGAGTTTGATTATATTGATTTTTCTAATCCTCTTTTAACAAGTGGATTTCAACCTAAATTCACCACTAAGTCCTTAAGACCTAAATGTATTAAGTATGTGTATTGATTTTGAAAAGATTTAAAACTTTAAGTGATCATTATCAAGATCATTTAAATATCATTTTGATTATCAAATAAGGGTATAAAAAAAAATTATACCTAAATTCAAAAGTCATTTCTGATTGATGAAGTTTTCCAAAATTATGGGAATTATTCTTTTTATCTTGTAATTTGGTAAAGTGAAGTGAGTTTCTACCAATTAAGTCCATTTTTGGTTGCAAACCATTAAATGAGTTAATTAATATCAGAAATTACCCATTTTCCATTTTGACTGAGCCTAAATATTCATTAAGGCCAAAATGTCCAAAATTACCATTTTGCCCCTAAGGGTCCAAACTTTCATAATTTGTCAATTTTAAGTCAAATGACTTTGAAATTTTATGCAACCTTACTGATAGGTCAATTAAGACATCA